ACCTCAAAGCCAAGTTCAGGGAGATGAGTGGAAAAGCAGACAAGCATGGGCAATTTTTGAGAGAATTGCCCCCCAACTTCCCTGAGCTGAACTTCAATAAGTCCAAGTACAGGTCTTAGACTTACTGATGATCATCTTCAAGCCATACTGAGGGTCTCAACTGCTTCCTCTCTCAAGCCAAATGTGGTTCAGATTTGTGAAAAGAAGCGCTGTCAAGTATCTGGCAGCAAGGAGTAGGCAAGAGGAGCCATGTTCAGAAGAACCGTTCATGATTTTCACTCAATGTTCCATTCATGTTCAAAACACTTCATGTTCAGAAGAAATCATTAAAACTGTTAACATTTTTTTTTTTTAAACTTTATTGTGGAATCCCTTACGCGGCCCACCCTCACCCAGACTCTGCCTCCAGCGGCCCCCAGGTAAATTGAGTTTGAGACCCCTGCACTAAAGCAATAGACCCTAAACAGACCACAATTTGTCTTGAAACCAATCCAGACTTTGAATTAGACCGACCCAGAAAATGAAAAGATGTACAAAAATCTCGTCAAACCTGGCCAATATTCTGCACTACAAGAACGGGCGAGTGTTTTTTTTTTTGTGGAGCTTCTAAGAGATTCTTCCAGTTTCCTCTTCTTCCAGTTATCAAAAAAAAACTACTCTGTAGTTTTCAGTCATTGCCACTGACTACACAACACACATAGACAGACTGAGTAAATGCTTCGATTCTATGACCATCCCACCTTAGAAAGCCATCCATCCATCAATTAACCAATCAGTCACTCAATCATCCATCCGTCCATCTATCCATCAATCCATCTCCGGACCCTTAACTAGACACAAATCCGCTTCTACTGCTACTACCGCTGACTTGAGTACATCAAGTACAAGACCTAAAGGAACCAATTTTTTTTTTTACTTTGCGCCACTCAGTGTATTTTGACAAGTGACCTGTGTCCTACCTCCGTCCAGACTGCGGCTCAGTAGGTTCCTCTTGCTGACACATCGAGTGAAAGGTGGTGCAGGTCTGGAGATCTGAGCACTGGCTCTGCGGCTCTGGATCTGAGTCCGCCCACTGTACCGGAATTTCGATCCCAGAGACAGGAACTTTTTAGGAGTTTCCTCTGGGGACAATAACCTGCGACAGAGAGACATAAAAATATAACTCTATGGGCGTAGTTTATCAGTGGCTAGTCAAAGCTGTCCGCTGAGCCTTTTAATGTGTCCAATGTGCTCAGAAAAAAAAAAAAAAAACGTAGATATATTAGCCCTAACGCTAAAATAGAAACCAAAGATGAAGCATGATGTGAGACAAATTTGTTATTTAATTAATTTTTAACCATATACTATGACAACCATATAACCTAAAAATGTACCAATTTTTGAGAGATATTTTTTGATTTTGATTTTTTCCAAGGTCAACATCTCGGATTAGCACAGTATGAATTTACTGTCAGTAAGTAAGAGTAGGTAATAAATAAAATACGATTATTTTGGTAACATGATTTTTCTGGCTACAATTAGCCCAACAAGCTAACCTGTAAACTTGAACTGTGAAATGTGACTGTCACACTCAAGAAAACCAAAGCTCTCTATATAGAGCCATAGTCTCGTTATTACCCATGATGCATAGAGCCGTCGGCCATGTTGTGTGGCAAAAGACAAGAATAGGTAGACGTAAACGATCGATAATGACAACAAAAAAGACAAGAATATTAAATTGCAGTAGGTAAGAGTAGGTAATAAATAAAACAAGATTATTTTGATAACATGATTTTCTGGCTACAATTTAAGGTCAAGCTAAACTGTAAACTTGAACTGTGAAATGTGACTGTCACACTCAAGAAAACCAAAGCTCTCTATATAGAGCCATAGTCTCGTTATTACCCATGATGCATAGAGCCGTCGGCCATGTTGTGTGGCAAAAGACAAGAACAGGTAGACGTAAAAAGATCGATAATGACAACAAAAAAGACAAGAATATTAAATATTGCCGGAGGGAGATTAGACGAAATTGTTGTATAGAGATTCACTAGACACAATTAAAAGGGCGAGATACTTGGACAAGTTGAAAATAATCGATGGAAAAGGCCCATACGAAGTCAACAAAGCTGAGTGGAAGTGGGCGCACACTGAAAGTTGGCCAGACAACGCATAACATACGGTATTTATTACCCATTAACACCCAAATAATAGTACATAGAATGTACATAGAAAATACTGATAATGATATGGACTGTGGTCAGCTGAGGATTTACACTTGCATTGTGTACATGTGTCATATATGCAAAGTACATTTTGATATACCTTAATTTTATTGACATTGAACATATGAATCAAATAAAAGTATAATGTAACTACCCGAAAATAAGTTCAGAACAGACTTTGTAATGCCTTTTGCTTCGATCTGGGTTGAAATTAGCACGGCTAACAGATCACTTTATGTCAAAAAACTTCATCTTGCGATCTCCATTCCCAGATCAGTTGGTACAACCCCACACAACACAGGTATTTACCATTGTCGGTGTTTTTATGTATATTTAATATCTATCTATACACTCTGTTGCCCCACAAGATGGCGGACTACGGAACTATGGGTAGTAGCATGACGTCATCGGAAAACTATCTATTAAAACAGAAAAAAAAAAACTGACCTGAAGAAGGAGTGATGCTCCACACACACTTTCCAAAGACGTTTTGCAGCCCTGTGGTTGAACAGCTTGAAACCAATTGTGGATTGAAACTGGTCGAACTGGAGACAACAAGATTCCGACCGTTTGTCCATGTAGCAGATATGTACTCAAATAATTTAAGGCCACTGAAGGCCACTTGAACAACATACAAAACACTAAAGAAAAAAGTCGTTGCAGTTGAGCAAACGGTCAGTACGGTTAGTCAGTTAACATCAGGAAGTTAGCATGTCCACTAGCTTAGCTACTTATACTGCAACATGTAAATCATAAGTAAACGTTAGTCAAAGTTCCTTATTAACAGCGGCTACAGGTGACTATAATATAACGGTAACGTCACAGGCGCACCTCTCCAGGTCGAATTTTGATGTAAAAGTTGTTTCTCTTGTATGAAATCTTCAAGATCTTCGGCCACGAGAATCGATTGATCCTAAGTCTGTCCCTGTAGACGAGCAAACCGCTACTGCACACACCCAGCATGATGGCTACACCCTCGGAGTCCTGCGGAGACACAATCACATTTTGGGCTACCACCTCAGATAGTGGAGAGAGGGAACTGTAGCAGACGGGCTGTCACATAGGTATGTTTGTAATAAGGACATGAAACTGTTTGTCTGATGTCGCTTGAAACATTCACTCGTTATTGGAGTGGTAATTAGGTGGAGTCGTGGAATTAATGGGGAGTTTGAAGGATGTCAGATGTCAGATGAGTTACGTAGAAAAAACTACTGTACAGTGGCTGATATAAAGTTCTATGGCAAAGCACGGAAGACTGTCTTACTTCCAACTGAGCTGAAGACAAGCAACCAATGACGCTTTCTACCATCTATGAGAACAGACAGAGAGACAGACAAACGGATAGAGAAAAAGACAAAATGGGAAAGAGAAAAAAGGAAAAGCAAGAGAGAAAAAAAAAGTGTGTCAAGACAGAGGAAGGAAACGGCAAGAAGATCAAAATAAAAGCAGAGATCTGTGAGGAACATTCTACACAGAAAATAAGAAATAAAAGATCAAAGATTAGCTTAAAGATTAAAGATAGCTTGAGTCGTTGCATTGTGCAATTAAGTAAGGATTGGTGTGGCACAGACGGCAAAATTAATTTGTCATAAGACAGGAAATAATCCTAGCAAAACATCAGCTACTGTCTTTGTGTGGTGACATCTGTACGACATCCTGTAAACAGGATGGTACAATCGTCTTAGCAACAGCAGCCCGCGGCACATTGGAGGAGAAAAAAGTAACGGATTGATATTAGTGTCGGCAGATACTCCATCGAACACTAGACTCACACTCTGAGCTTATATGCTCAACACCAAGCCGAACCCCAGCAGGACAACGACAGCTCAAAACGAAAAATGCGGCAGATGGAGAGGTCCTGAATAAATGCTTCAATGCCTGGTTAGCAGCAGGAGGCCAACCTCCGTGGTCATACAGGTGCTAACTTCCAGACTCTCGATCTGGAAACGTATACTCGGATTTCCACGCAGAGGAATACTGAGGTTTTGTGAGACAAAAGGCTAGGGGAGAGAATAACTGACAAGGCTACAATGGACATACACACAATCTTTAGAGAGGACCAGAAAACTGCAGAGAATGGCAATACCATGGAAAGAGGAACGTAAGGAATTGCAAACAATGCTGCAAGATTATCTCCAAATCCTGCTCTGAGAAC